CACATACACACACACACACACACACACCCACACACACACACACACACACACACACACACACACACACACACTGACTATAAGAAAGCTGAAGAGGGCTGTGACAATAAAAACAGGATGCAGAAGGAATTTATCTGTCCAGGAGGAATCTCTGCAGCTGCAGCCTGCCACATGACGCAGCGGGCAGAGCCATTGACTCACTCTGGGCTCTGCAGTATGTCAAGAATGAGACTTTAGTTGTACAAGTTGTTACTGACGATGTATGAATGCGTCTACACGACGAGTGATTTATTTCCAGCAATGCAGCACCTGTCAGTCAGCAGAAGTGAAAGAATTTCCTGAACACAGTGGTGCTCAAATGTAGTGTTTTTTTAAAAGGCATTTTGGACTGAAACACAACTGACAGACATGCAGGGGAGTGCCGTGCCTTTAGTTTGGATTTGAGCGTTTGACCAAGTCTGGCTGTTCCAAAATCATCCACAGAACAAAGGCTTCAGAAATGTTTTTTATGAAATATATTTGTACTGGAGCACCGTCATTATTTATACATTTGCATAACTGAAAACAATAAGAAACTGAAGGTTTAGTATACTGTGAAGGAATTGGTGTATGATTGGAGTATAATAAAAAAGACAGAAACGGGACTGATGACATTCTTAAAGCTAAACATAAAGAACAATAGAGCTATTTTCATGACTATAAGTGGAAGCCAGATGTTTGTCAGATACAGCTAAGGCCCTGCTTTATTCATTACTGACCTTGTAAACAGCAATCTGAGCAACAGTTTTAGCAGAGGCTTCTGTGTGGCCTTCATCGAGGATGAAACACCACTTGATGACCCTGAAATGATCAGAAAGCGGATCTGGACTGAAACTTTCTCCAAGTGGTTTTGTTTTGTTTGAGCACGAGGTCAGATTTAGAAAGAAAATTTCCACATCCAATGGTTAATCTCATATAATATTAAAATTCTTGACTTTATGTTTTTTTTTTGTCAGAACCACTATTTTTGTTGCTGCATTTAAAGAGGTGACACAATCAAGTGCAAACGGTTTGCTCTGATGTATTTTACTGAGGCATGGTTTGCATTAGTCCTCACTATCTTCCTGTTATTTTATCAGCAGGATTCTCATGCAGGCAGGAACAATGCAAACCTGCTGTGTTTAGGTCAGCTTGCTCAGCTTCGTATCTTTTATCATCAGAAACCATGCAAATGGATTCGTTTTACAGTAAAATGATCCATTCTTTCAGTCAGACGGACATTATTATCATTACTGCATTTGCTTGGGCTGTTTTGTGCACGCCCTACATACATGCAAATGTCGGCAGATATGTCTTAAATCACGAGGCTGATAAAGAATCCCTTCCACTGATTCTCCTGTATGGACGCAAGAAACTCCTGCAAACATTTTAGTGCAAGAATTTAAATGAAACACTGTATAAAGAAATGTTGATCAAAAACAAACAAACCAACAAAAGATGTCAAAATTAAAGAGTTTAAGTCATGTCCCAAAGTTTTTAGCC